TAATTAGTCATTGTTTTAGAAAAATAAGGTAGAATAACATATAATCAAAGTTTGATGATAGAATAGCATATAAATGTACAAAAATGAATAAAGGAATAATTTTTGTATTAAAATTTTTTTATTTAAAATAAACTTTTCTTTATTATACGTATATATTGCATATAATGTTTAATGTATTAACATGTATAAACATGTACAAACAAAAATATTTTATTATAATAAAAATTAACTGGAAATAGCTCCATAGAACGACTTAGAGTATTTATTGCAATATATTATACGACTTTGTATTTAGATAATAATATAATTTTATTGAAAAATAATAATAATTTTATTTAAAAAAGAAATAAAGGATTTTTAATTTAAGTTCACTCAATATCATCCGCACTATCTTGACTGGAATCAGTAGTATCATACGTTGAACTTTGCATGCTTTCCTTTCTTTCGTCCTCCTGTTCAGAAAATTTTGAACTTTCTTCATTTTCTTTATTATTATAATCTAATGATTCGTCATACACAGACTTTTCTTCCGACGTATTGTTGTCTGCTTGAGTCTCTAAGTGAGAACTAGACTCGCTGGAATTATTGTTTTCTGGTGTATTACGATCATTTCGATCATCAGGTTCAGTATTTTCAACATTAATTGGATCATCACATAGTTCCGCAGGATTAATCTCTTCCTTTTTTTTCTTTCGAGTTGGCAAGTTATTGAGTTCATAAATTTTGTGTGCGATATGAGTTCCGACTTGTTGTGCTTGAAAGTCTGCTGTTACTTCATCATGACCTTTCTCAGACATTGCATAATATTTAACAGCAGCTACAAACAAAAAGAAATACTTTGTAAATTACGATATACGCAATGAATTATTTAAATGTTGTAACAATTTACCCCTTATGGCTTGTAATTTTGTAGAATCTAGTGCTGGTCTAGGTGCAGTTTGTACTTTATTTTTATTTCTATTTGATGTAATACCAGTCACTGAACTTTCTTGAAGAGTTTTAATGCCAAAAACAGCGATAGCCAAATTTTTCACAAACTGTGGCAATGATTTTGAGATTACACATACTGTATCATATTGACGTGCACATATGTATACTCCATAACCAAGATAAACCTATAAGTACAGCAAAACTTATTAAAATTATATTATATCACACGTGCGTGGAAAGTGGCCCATTCCGCGCGCGACGCGCGCGTGATGGGCCACTTTCCACGCACGTGTGACATAAATAACTATTTCCAATTCGGAAGACAGTAGAGTCCCTCTAATCAGAGTTAAATAGTCTAAAATCAGAGTCTAAAAGTTAAATAGTTTTCATATCTACCTCGTTACGTTCAATATTTCTATAACCTACAGGAAGCTGTCCAACTTGATTTTGTTGCGTCATAGGATTTCTTTTAAAATATTCGGACACCATGCCTATTATTTAAAAAAAAATTATTATTTAAAAGAAATATTATATAAATAAAAGATTTACTAATAGTAAGAGATACGTACGCATGAGTTCATCGAAATTACTCAAGACTTTTATTTGAATTTCCTCATTTTTCTCATGAACTTTGGGATATTCTGAGATCACTTTTTTTTGAAGTTGCATATTTAAATTCATTAAATCATTAATGACTTGTTCTTTATTTTTAATTCCATTCTTTAATTTCAAATTTTGTCTTTGCAGATCTTCATTCATTCTTTGCAATTTTTCTATCTATAAATTAATATGAATAACTTAGTTATATTTTTATCTATTAAATCAGTTTACCTTTGTTAAAAATATTTATTTTTTTTTATCTATTAAATCAATTAATCTTTATTAATGTTATTGAAAAATATTAAAATATTTTTACCTTTTTGTCAAATTCTCTGTTTTTATTAGATTTATATTCTAATGCAGTATGATCGCTCTGTAAATAAATTATTTCTGGATTAATTTTATATTAAATCAATTTATATTACTGCTTAATTTTTATGCATTAAAAGGCTACAAATTTCATTCATATTACTTTTCAATAATCTTAAATAAAATTTTTTAACGCTTACAATTTCATTATTTTCTATCCTATTTACTTCCTTGTCTCCTCTCTTCCCGACCTTGCTTGAGGAATACAGGTTATTTATTATATTAGATGTATTATCTAATCCAGTTTTGTTCGCAGATATCCCTCCTTTTTTTGATTTGTAGCCGAAATCGAATTGACTTCTATTTATAGTACCATCTGTACACTTTATATAAAAAATATATACATAGATTACATAAATTATATATGACACAATATAGATTTTGTATAATAAGTCATTCTACACCATGAAATATTACATTAAAAAAAACGTTTAAATATTAAATTTTACAAAATCAATACAATTCAAGTTTTAATACATTGCTGCTGTTAATTTGAAATAGATTCAAGTAAATCTTTAAAAAATGTTATTTTTATAACAGTTTGAACAGTAATAGTTAAAAAACTGTGAAACAATTAAACTGTCAACAAGTTGCAAAGGCCTCAAATATCATATTCTATATAAATAATCTAGAATTTACACAAGATTAAATTTTCATTAATATAAATTAATAAAGATTTCTAAAATCACTTAATTTTGGAAATCTTTATTAATTTATATTAAGGAAAATTTAATCTTGTGTAAATTCTAGATTATTTAGAATATGATATTTGAGGCCTTTGCAATGTAGAAAAACGTTTGATCTAAATTCCGAATTAGTCGCATTCTTCATGAATATTTTTTCAATGTTTCGTGAATATTTTAAAGAAAGAAACAATTTGTTTCCTGTTTCAAGTTCTCCTTTTTCTCCAAAAAGTAAATTTGATACATTCATAAAATATCAAAAACAAATCCACGAAGAATGAGGTATTAATTGCAAACTCAAAGCATCAGTTTTAAGAGAAGAAATTAAGGTTAATGTTACCTTTTTTAATAATTTATCTTTAGATCCTTTTTTAAGCTCAGTAAAATTGTTTTCAAGTTGAGTTTTATGTATAGTTTTGCTGTTATTGTCATTACAAACACTTTTTTCATTATTCGTACATGAATGTAATGTATCAAAATTATCATTAATGATCAAACTATTCTGTGAGCATTGCGTAGAACCCAATTCTAAATTACTCTTGGTAATCACAGCTGGTGATACCATTTCCTGGAAAATAAATAAAAACTGGAAATACAACTAGAAATAATATAACAAGGTATGTTTCTGCAAACTACAACTTCTGAATCACATTTGTAAAAAGAATCATTAAAATTTTTGTACTACAAACAGTACCAACTTACTTTTTCCTTTGAATCATGTACTTTTTCTGTATTTGACAAAACAACTTTGTCATTACGTTTTTCACCTTGTTCGTGATTATCTGTCATGCCTTTTATTAATTCATGTTGTTTGTCGGACTTATTCTTATCTATTTGCGATATTGATTGTTTCAAAGTGTTGTTACTGGAATCTTTTACAGAAACTGATGATTTCTGTCAAAAATATGAATAATAAAATAGAAACTTATATTATTGTATTTTTTTAGTTAAAATAAACTATAATTATGAATAAAAATGTATTTACCTTTATTTGATTCTGTTTCTCATTTTTTCCATCTTCTTTAGATAACATCCCTTTTTTTTTTACATTCTTGCTTAGAAAATGATCTTTTACTTTGGCTGTTTTGTTTACATGACTTCCATTGTTAGTATTAGATGACAATTTTTTACTATTATTTTTTTGAATTAATGCAGTGTCTAATTTCTTGATTTTTGCAGCAATTCTGTTTTTTATATCGTCTCCTTTTAAGCTCTGAAAAAATTTAGTGTAACTTTTTGTTTAAAGTCTACTTTGGAAAGAAAATAAAATATTTTCAAACATGTATTTATAAAAAAGTTACATTTTTGCCGTCAACGTCTGATTCACTTTCAACTTCTGTTGCTGAGATGCAAAGATTCAGAGGCGAAAACTCTACTCTTTTACATTTTATTTTTACGTCAACTGCTTCTTTGGTTTCTATCATATAAAAAAAGATATTTAGTACAGAATGATCGTGATTATTTTCATAAATAAATTTATAAATATATGTTATATACATGCATAATATTAAAGTGTACAAAATAATATATTTAATATTATATTATAAAATATAGTACTCTTTAGTATATACTTGTTTATTTTTTAAAATAAGGCCAATTATATACACTACATTATAGTATGCAATTACATTACTTTATACTTGGCAGTTATATATGATCTTTCATAAATCTAAACGATTATATAACGTCTGATATTTACTGTAAAGGGAAGTCTTACAAATAAATCATTTAACATTAGTATTTTATTATGCCAGTATCAACACGGTGCACTTTATGTTGAATGCTTCCTATTTGTAATGTAACGATGATACAAGCATTATTCAAAATTCTAACCTCATTTAACCTAACTATATTCTATAATAATAAATATAAGATAATGTTTCCGTTGACTTGTATCATTAAACAGAAAGCATTATTTTAAAAATTATCTTTATATAATACTTTACAAACAATATTTTCCAACACTGATGTAATTTTCCAACCATGCACTTTCGTGTCCCATCGAAATTTTGATAAACTCGCGTGATACGAAAGGGCATGGTTGGAGAAAATAGGGTTAAGAATACAATTCTTACTAAGAGATTAAAATTTTCAAGATATAACATTATTGAGTTTCTTACCCTAATACTATATACTATATATATACCTTCTAGAATTGCTTTCTGTTGCATTCGTCCTATTATTCCGTAATAAAAGTGACCATCGTCCCATTTAACTTGGTATTTTTTATCATATTGTATGTCTTTTATATTAAAATCTACTATGTCCTTTGTATCCACAATTGCTTTTATTCCGTCTTCAAATTTAACGTAAGTGAACATGTTTGTACGTGCTGTTGCCGCTCGGCAGTGTTAATACGGAAAATGGAGGGAAATCTTTCTGCCAGATCTTTGTGCGCATGCGTGGTGCGTGGACTATATAGCGATGCGCGTATTTTTCTACAGAGACGCTCCGTCTATTATATGTGTATGTTTTGATGATCCGTACGCTTTACACAATCTGAATCCTATAAACAATTTCGATTCATCTTTATGAATAACGATTCCTTTTAATTATAAGCAATTAATTCAAAATTAGATAAAATGGATAAAGATAATTTATCTTTAAAAAGAAAAAGATACAATAAACTATTTTT